AATTCAGCGGCCCAAAATTTCACTGTCGTAAATGATGGTGCAGAGTCCCCATACACAGAATCCAACTCATCTTTGATTTGCGTAGGCGTATTGCCTTTCAAAAACAAATATTTAATGACAGCTCGATACTCGATTTTGTCCATTTTCACAAAAACACTCACATCAACTTACTCAAACGACTGTTACATAACAACTGCGAGTCCAAAATGGCTGAAACTTCGGTGAGTAACTGTCAACAGATGAACAACGAAATTCACTAGCTTTTATTTACAAGTGCTGCTATCTTCACGTTGAGGTCGGAAACTTTTCAGACCACCCTCGTATATATAAAATGAAAAAAAAATATATATATATATATAAAATAAAAATAAGGTAGCTAGAATGAAATTTCTTGCGCAAGTGTATGATATATGCTGTTTCGGGTAATAGAAGCAATTTTCATTCATGAAATAATTGAAATTCCAGAATTACTTAACCGGCCGATAGATACTTAAGACAGCCATATTGCTGCATATTTGTGTATTTTTATTATTACGAAACAAAATATACAGTTAGTAGGATCATGGCGCGACCATTAACACACAGAAGGAGGTTGTTTCTGTTTGTACAGTCAGTCTCGACAATTGGTTGTCTGAGAAGCTGTAACTTTGAAATTCTGAAAGATGGGACATCTAGCCCCAGCATTCCTTATATGATGTAATAATTAATGCCAGAACTATAAATTAAATTGCATTACATCTGCCAATTACCATATCAACGACAATCGTCGATGATATTGCCGTCATCTATTTATAATTCATTTCATCATAGTTCCATATAATTGGTGAATCTTTTCGAGAATTTGTGGGACTATTCGCACAAGTTCGTCGCTTCGATTCGGCCAACGATCGATGACGACTAAAGTCGTGTCGCGGTCGTGTGTCGTTAACACGCAGTACGGAATCCGACAACAGAGATGCGCACTTACGAAGCGACTTCCATGGCAATCGCAAAGGCGTCTCAGACTTACCGAAGGTCTCCATTACGCGAATGCGAGCCGCATCGCTAACTCGCGAACCGCGGGGTGCATTGTACCTCACTAGTGCAGTGCAGGTATTGTGCAGCGGCGCATACCCGACACCTGTTGCCTCGGCCGTGCTCTCGGGAAAACGAGATGCCTGCCGGGAGAGTGAGAAGGAGAGAGGGGGGAGGGGGAAGGGAGAGGGTCGTAACGACGCGTATAAATTACGATCACCCGTTCGGCGTGTGTTCACCCTTTTACGAGCGCGGTGCTCCCGACTCCTCAACGTCCCTCTCGACTGATTTACGCCGCGGTACCCGCGAATTATCTCCCCTCTCGGTTCTTTTTGCGATATCGCCACTCTTAGACAGTATTTTCCGCGGCTACGTCCTCGAAAAGGGAGGGAGGGCGGCGTGAGTAGAGCAATTTATATAACGCGAGGCCGCACCTAGGCAGGCCGTTTCGCCGAACGAGGAAGCGAATTCGTGCGGACGCGCGTGTCGTGGCGTAAATAATACCTCCAATTTCCGCACGAAGCGTAATGAGGTTCACGGTTGACTTGATTTTTAGAAAATCGCGCGAAATCTTTTCCCTTAGCGTGAACTCGTGCCAAGCGTTTCACTGACGAATTAAATAAAACTTTTCTATTTTCGCAAGTACACGCCAAGGAAAAAGATACATGATCGGTGGTCAGGGGCGTAGTCACCTGTCAGTGATCAATTCCGACGAGAAAAGAGACCAGATAGGCCAGACGGATCTCTCGATCGGCCGGCCGCTGTCTCCGAAGCGCTGAGCCATCGTTAGCTGGGCTATTTATGATATTATTTTCCCTCGTTAGTCGCCATGTAACTGTCTCGACTTTGACACGCGCCGCTCTTTATAGACACGCCATCGCGCGCGCTTTTGGTTCGCGCTGTATTCTTACAGATTTACAACCGTGACCGAGATACGCGTTTTCGCCAACGCAACCAGAGGAATCTGCAGCTTGATAGATGTTTCCTTAGAATCGATCTTGAGAGTCTCCGCCGCCATTTTTTCTCTCACGTGGACCACGTGGTGCACGTGACGCAGAGTCGGTCAGAGGTCGTAGACGCGCGAGTGTCCGGAAACCGCTCCTCGACTGTTCGAGATACTTATTTCGTAGCAGTTGCATCGAATAATTGTTTTTTTTATACGAGATATAAAAATTTACTTATGACTGGTTACATAATATATAGCACGCATCATTATATACAGAGTATCTAACAATTCATTGTGCAACCTCTAAATAAAATTCATGAAACTGAACACAACGTCCTTCTACCATTTCGCAAATAATTATAGCTGTTATGTGAATTTGTATATTAGATCAAAGTGAACAAAAAAGTCCTTTACTATTTTGCAAATGACCACATAGATTTTTACGTATTAATTAAAGAAGATTGGTGCGCGATTGTGCGTGATAATACACTTTTGTTCAGTTTGACCTAATGTGCAAGTCGTCAATTAAAATTGCTAGTTTTTATATGGCAATGGAAAATAATCGAAATAATAATAGAAATAATAATCGCATTAAATTTCGATGTATTCTTCGATGCGAACAACGCATACGAGATGACGTTGTGATTTCTGTTGCAGAATATGGGTATAAAGGATGAGTTCCACCAGAAGAACATTTTGGTGTGTATCGAGGAGCTTTGCCAGCCGTCGCCTCCGCCTCCGGTGGCGACGGAAACTACGGGCTCGACGACGCCCGGCGTCGCCGTGGACTCGGGTTGCCCCCTCGGAGTTAGTTATCCGGGCAACAACGCGACCAATAATGCGCACAATCTCGTGCCGCACAGTTTCAGCGTGCTGGAGAAGTGCGACAAATGCCATAAATACCTCAGGGGTCTCTTACATCAAGGCTTTCTCTGCCAAGGTACGTCCTCGGCATCGATTCTCAATTCTCTCTTCAGGTTAATCAGTATATTATCATTGATAAATTGGGAATATGATGATTACAGTTATAAATACGTCATTGCAAATTAGTGAAATATTTTTGTTTGTTTCACTTGCTGGCACTGTCTCCGTGACAGTGAATTCTGGTATTGTTTGCATCATTTTTTCTGATGTCTCGTGACTGCTGGGAACCGAAGTTTGTCAACAAACAGTCCAAAAACACGTTTGCGAGTGGCACTCGATTGGATACAGAATAGTATATATAATTTGTTGGACTTAGTAATTCACCAGATAAAATTTTTGCACCGATTGCTGGTGTCCAGTTGTGTCCAATCGGGATCCTTCCTCGCGTATCCTCCTTGGTAACTATGATCCAAGCGGTTACTCATCTATGTTCTGGCCACACTAAAATGCGGTGCACATTAAAACAATCGAGCAACACGCGGTAATGGCTCTAACGATGTTATAAGACTTACATATCTTTATAATATCCACAGAACATTACAGTACATTTATTAGCAAACATTGAAATGACGAAACAACATTGGATGCAACGAATATTAGTATAATGTATATTAGCGATGTGTCACTGTAAGTTGGAGCAATGAATTTCTATATTACTGATTTCGGAGTGAAATCCTACTGGCGGAAATCAGTAAAATGTAAGATCGACAAGATATTTCCACTGAGAATCAATAAATACTCACTGATTACCAGTGGTATACTGTTTTACTGATTCAATCAATGCCATTTTCACTGATTGTCCTGGAGAGAATTACGTGAAAGAGTCGCGATCGAATAATCGGAATAACAGGATCTTTATCGTTCATACACGCTCTTGTGCGCGGGCTTTCACTTGAAAATCGCACCGAAAAGTTGGAGCTTCTCGAGGCAGGAGCTTCTCGTTGCGTAAAGTCACTCTTGAATTTTTCCAGTTACGGAAGTTGTCTCGCGAACTTAATCTCTCGCGCATCGTTGCCGCGACCGCTCGCGATTAATTATGGAACCCAGACGAGAATCAAGCAGCGGAACGAACATTTCGCGCTGATTGACCTCGCTGAACGTGAATTTTCTACGTTGCGCAGATTGCGGACTGGTCTCACACAGGACGTGCTCGGCGACGGGTTTGCCTGCCAATTGCATCTCAGCCGACTCGGACAATCGTATCGGCAGGTTTACTTCGGGTAAGTCACGTCGTCGTTGCGGTCGTAGTCGTAAGGCACGCCCGTAGCTAGGCGCAGCACATTAATCCTTCACCACGACCCTAATGGATAGAATACGGAAACCGCTGAAAAATCCAGTTGTCTTCTAAGACGACGAGAGGTTGCGTCAGAAAGTAGCCAGTTCTCTCGCCAGTATGGTAGTCGGCTGGCGAGATCGTGCGAGTTACGACCGGGCTGACGGCAAGGACGCCGTCCTGGCGCCTGCTGGCCGCTGCATCTCGTTACGATAACCTGGAACCTGGAACACTCGACGGAGGCTCACGCGCACCTCACGGCTGACGACTTTCTTCCATTGAAATCCCACCGCCGCCGCCGCCGCCGCCGCCGCGTTCATGTGGGAGTCGCACGGCTCTCTCGCTGGCATTTAATGATCCTTAGCTGAGCGCGCGAGTTTCGACATGGTTTTACCGTCGGATTACCGTCGTCCCCGACGTATTGTATCCCTCCTCTCCTCGTTCCCTGCGCTTTTGCGAGAAACGAACCTCGGCTAGAAATTTATGCGAGACGAAACACACATGTGTATGCACATATATTGATTCGTCGGGATGGTCACCGGGTTGTTAACGCACTCGTGCGATAGGCTTGGCTGCAATTTGCATCTCCGCGAAACATATTGAGGGTAAAACATTCAGTAGCCTGCTTGATTTGGGTATTTTCGCAACCATTAGTCTAATGAGAGGAAACTTCATTTCTGAGATTTAATTCTTACGGAAGCAACTATATATATAATGATTCTATAGGGATCTCATGTCTTTTTTTATCAATGTGATATGTATGATAAAGTCTTTGCTCAAAGACTGTAAAAATTAATGAAATTCATTGAACCACCGGCTGCATACCAAGATGCATCTCTGGAGTTTTGGGCTTCCTCATCAGAAGTAAATTATGCGCTCTAGATGGTCATACCGGTCTATGTTGTAACACAATGAAATACACATTTTGATGACTTGAAATTCGTAAACTCAGCCGCGGATGCGTTTTTCTCAGCCGATCCCGCGCATTTCGAGGCGCATTTACTTACGTGCATTCGGCAACGAGGGAGGGTTAAACGGTGCGAATGCCCCAGACAACGATAATCGGTAGAGACAACGTAGGCGAGGCTCAACGCCCGCGCCGTCAACGCGCCTCCAGCGATGCATTTAATTAACGCTGCGCGCCAATGACGGAATCGAATATTTGTGCATAGCAAAACTGCGAGCGCGGCGCCAGACTTCAGGACCGTGTCGCCACAATCTCTCATTCATTTATTCCAACTATTCCTGTTGTCGATCGCGTAAAACACACTGTGCGACGATCGTCGCATCGATCGCTCGAAATTACCGCGGTAATTCGTGATAACGTCGACGACGTCGCGCTTATTGTACGCGATGCTAACGATAATAGGGCTCGTTCTCCTTTATTGCGCAAAGTGATATCCCGAGCGGTCAGAGTTTCGGACCGGTCCCGCGTACGGGATGTTAATCGGGGCCCCTTGATTTTGTTATCCGCTCCATCCGCCGAGGAAGGTCGGATTTAACCAACTCCCGCTCTAATGACCTCGGAAACGCTGGGGGCTCGTGGGGCTCAGACGATCCAATTTCGTGTTTTTTTTTCGTAAAAATGCCGCGATCGATCGACGCGCGCGCGTGGCTTCCACGCCGGTGGTTGCGCGATCGTTGCGAGCGCGGCGAGACTGATTTATAGTAATTGGCAACGTTTAATCACTTACACGCGAGTCATAAGCAAGCGCGGACGAGCTCCGTGCGATCACTAGGTGCAACGACGACAATGATGTTTTTACCGGACGGAAATTCGACGAGTCACATGTGCGTATCTCCCGTATCCACAACTTTGATATTTTGCCCCGATCTATCTGAAACTAACTCAATCTACCGTTGTATTAGGTTGGTGCAGAAGATTTCTCGTTTTTTTTTTTTTTTTTTATTATATCATTATTGTTATTTGTGTGCATGGAGAAGTACATTCCCTTTAGTGCAAAGAGTACAATGTAGAGCTAAATGAATCTCTCTTACAAGGAATGGAAGTTAAATAAATCAGAAAAGTAATTTAATTAATATATTTCTAAGGAAACGATGAGTCGTTTAAAAAAAATCTATATTATTCGGATATTTATTAGCAAGCATACTTAAGGTATCGTATTAGATTTTGATTAGATTAAACTAAACCGATGAAATTTGCTGGATGATAAAGTAATTATTTGAGCACATGCATTACGTGCTCGTGTATGTCGTTGACAATTCTGTTGTCCGTGCATGCGCAGTGTACGAGGGAAAAGCATTAATTAAAGACAATTTCGGTATAACGTTTTATTAAGTTGACATAAAGAATTTGGCAGCGATGCCATTAATTGTGGTTCTCTAGAATTTTCTAATTCGCGTATCAATCTGACTACAAAAAACGCAAAACAGTTCGCTGCTCCTCGACAGTGAACTTTGATAGCGAGAGGAAGAGCGAGTGAATGAGTGAAATAAATATGTATATATACCATTTACAGATATAATTTAATATATTTCTCTCGGCTATATAGGTCAAAACTATAGAAAACATGAACAAATAAGTATAAGTATGTAAAAAAATATGGAGGAATGACATATTGATTATATCCGCGCAGAACTGGATTCTTTACTATTGGATATTTTCTATTGACACTTTACATAAACGAAACTTAGGGGAAGTTGGCAATCTAATAACATATAGAAATATGTGGTATTTTTACTCGCGCATCGATTTATTTGAGCTTGACGGCGCTCGATAACGGCCCTCTCGAGATTTCTTCGTGCGGGCATCGACGAATGATCGTACATTCGTGACGAATATCGCAGCCCGGCTGGCCTCCGCCGTGCATCCGCGCATAAAATTCACGTGCGTGCTTACGTTCTCGCCTGTAGCTCGTGTTTTAATTCCGACTTTTTGTCTTCTCTCTCCT